AAAAGCAGGGAGATTTTTATGCCCTTAAGGTCAGAGGAAAGGGACATTTGCTGTGCACAAATTTTGAACATTTAAAAGCACAACAGTAGGAAGCTAATGTGTTTCTAAAAACTGCTCTTACTAACTGAAGAATCTTCTGTTACATTTCACATGTAATTTGTCTACTTCACACATCAGATGACACATAGATTTATTTTCCCCCCTTGGTCCAGACCTTTTGTGCAGATGTCAGTAAAAATCATCAAACTCTGTCTAAACAGACTCTGGTTCGTTTTGCTTCAGGTACAAAAACAAACAGGCTTCGTTCGGCCCAAATTCAGAGAGCATAAGTCCCTTTGGACTTAGCAAGAGACTGTAGTGATAAAAGTGGTATTAAAGTCACAGCTGCTCTGCTGTCTGTAGCTTAGCAACGCTACTACTAGCAAGAGGTAGACGTATCCTCTGACAGTGTCATTACTTTAAGAAAAATAAAATTCTCAAAATATACATTGAATGAGCTGCATTGACTCTGTTAATGTTTTTGTAGTTGTTATAACTGCATAAAAATGTAAAAAAAAGAGGTGCTGCCTGCAGGAACTCTGTGGTAGTTAACCCTATTTCCAGGTCTATGCACTGGACACAACCGTAGTCACTTCTGACCAGTTGAAACAAAGACTGTCACCCTTTTGGCTTTGTTGTTCTTCATAGGTCACTTTCAAAGAGTTCATTTTGAATGAATATGAATCGGATCGGATAAAAAGAAAAAAAATCACTTTTGGTCCAGACCAAACAAGCATACCAAAGAACATTTCTGCTGTGAATACACCCTTTAGTTTTGATCTGATTTGATCAGAACCTATAAGTATTGTTATGGCTGTTAAAAAAAAAAGGAAAAAAAAGCGTTTCTTTAAAAGCTTAACAAGTTGGTAAATTAAAACCATGATATGTTGGAGAAAAAAAATAGATAAAAAAAATTTAAAATCAAAAGAAAAATATATGTACCTCTTTATTTACTTCATACATTTTTCTAAATGGTAATGGCATATGGCCTGTATTTATATACAGCTTTTTCAAGTCAGAGGACTGGACCAAAGTGCTTTAAACTACATTCAGTAATTGACCCATTCATGCACACTCACAGGCTTATGCTGACAAGCTACATTGTAGCCACAGCTGCCCTGGGGCTCACTGACAGATGCGAGGATGCCATACAGTGGTACCACCTGGCCCCCAACCTCCGACGTCACTGTCGCCCTAAAATATCGAAAATGATATCAAACATAAAAAATGAAAGGATGCTTAATTAGCTCACCTTGCTGTCATCACTACCTTCTCTATTACCCCAAAAGGAGTGAATCCAACAATTAGGGGCTCGCCATCAGGCAGTCCACCACATTACATGAGGAAGTAAAAACACAGCTGTTTACAAATTTATCAATGGCTCTTCACACTGTTCGAGAGCAACAGTCATTTCTTTCCTAGGGTTTTTCCACAATCTGTTGATAGTGGTGTATTTATGAGCTAAATCATATCATGCCTCTACAACAGGGGTCTTCAACATTTTCCAGGCAAGGACCCCCAAACTGTTGGCGAGATGTAGCGGGGCCCCCCTAATTATATATATATTGTATGAAATTGGTCAAATTGGTCCTATAGTCGCTCTATTACAGATAGAGTCATATAACGAAAGTAATTTCGCCCCTTGGGATTGTTAAAGTATTTCTGATTCTGATTCCTCGTTGATGGGACAGATGTTTTGAATGAAACGGTGCCCAGCTTGAAAGAGCTCCTGTGTGTCGCTGAATGTTTGCATTGATGACAGCATGTTGAATTCATGTTAATGTGTATTTAAAGACATTTCAATTAGAGGGAAAAATTGCAGGGGGTAATATAAAAAAACAAAACAAAAAAAGTCAAATCAACCAAAAATTTCACGACCCCCATGCAATACCTCTGTGGTCTTCAACAGGGGGTCAGTGACCCCCTGTTGAAGACCTCCACTCTAGAAGTTTACATTTGCGAACCCTCACCTGCAGAAGCTGCTGCTCACTCGCCATGTTTCCCACTCTGACCTGTCTGCATAGGTACAAATTTTCCTCGTCACAGACCTCAAGGACGCATCAAGCATAAACCAAAGTTCAAATGGTACTAAATGTGTTACATTTTACCAATGTGACTGGGATACGATTGGTAACCCAACCATGGCAAAACTGCTAATGTTGCTAATGCTACATCCACATAAATATGCATAGACACAAGTCAAAATCTTGTGTGTACCCTTGCAAGGTAAAAAAAGGGTGTCAAAAGCATGTCAAAGTAATAAACCAGGTTATGACTCCTTGATTTGTTTTGTGAAATGCTAATGCAAAGTTTTAAGGCTTTGTGACATACTGAAGCAGATGTTTTTTGTTCTTAGTGTATGACTTTGGGTTAATTCACCTCTTTTCAACGAATAGGACAAACGTCTGTCCATGCATTTCTGAACGCCCCCCACAAGTTCTGTTTTATGCCCTTAAATAAGTCCTTTAATAGCCATGGACGTAAACCATGACTTATCAGTTAATTTATCTTTATATGAAAGTATTTCTCCCATTTGGGGAGATTACCATGCTAAAGTGTTGTATAAAAGTCACTGTTAATTTCTGTTTATTTCTGAGTCCCTGTTGGAGTTAGCTGAGGGGCATAACCTTTATGCCCCCATGTCAAACCACAATTGCCAAATAACTTCCTACTGGTAGATGTGATTTATTGGAGTCATTAACCATATTACCATTACTTAAAATCGTCATATAATTTCCAAAATAATTTTCTGCCTAAGAAAGTTTTGTGCCAAATGACCAAAGCTGTAAAAATAAGGCAGAGTTGAAATATATGCTTTCCATTTGTTCACTAAAAGGTTTAAAACAAGTCTGGTATGTCATGTCATATACTATTCTGCTAGGAAAAAATTTGAATGCAAAATTAAGTAAACTTTAGAAATATTTGCATTACTTGAAGGGTGTAAAAATACCTTTTGAGTGATAGCTGCATTGTTTAATCGTCGTGAATGCAGCACAAAACACGAGAATAACGCACTGTGTATAAGACATGCAGTGACTCAGACTAATGTGAAACTAAGCCATGCTATCTTCTGGCCATTATACGCCTTTTTATTAAGAAAATTCACCTTTTTTTGAAGGTCAACACTTTTTACACTAATATTCCAATACTTAATAATCCTGCTTCAGATTAAAATAGTCTGAAATAATAGCCAGAGAATTGTAAAACAGTGCTCCCCTCCCCCACCTGGTGCTGTGTCCATCAGTTTAAGCTAATAGACTCACTATACTCTTGTAGTGACTGAGGAAAAGACAAATGCAGCTGTTTGAAAATACCTCTGGTCGTGAACAGCCATCATTAGGGTGTTTCTTTAGGAGCTTAAAAATTAACTTTGCATCATATGAGAATCTTCTCTGTTGATTAGTTCAATCTGGGATGGGTAACGAGCTAATGACAGCAAAATGGTTAATTGTTGATTGCAATCTAGTAGAATCATTATTATTAATTTACATTGTGTAACATTGGGTGAAGAAACATATAAAATTCACAGTAAAGACATTGACACTGTGACTAAAACAAAAGGGAAAGGTGGCTGTAATCCAGTGTGTTAAAACCACCAGGTAATGTCCTGGTTGTCCACCAAACTGGTTCCACTGCTTAACTGGTGCTGGAGCTCACCGTACACTACTTCTTTGTCTTTCGACCATGGTAAACTCTGGCCTCGGAGCCTTGCTTTGCTGATGGGCCAGAGCAGATAGTCAGCACTGTAACTGTGGGTCTTTATTTATACTACCTGTATGTGGTATTAAAGTATTTCAAAATACCATTTTCCAGCTCCCACTGCAGGGGTGAGGAATCATCTGTTTGTGATGGCAAAAACGTTGATAAATTAAATCAATGGGATATTGTGAGATGAGTGGAAAAGCACACCAGTTCTTTTACAGAACAGTTCTGGTTGAGAACTTGAACCATTTTGGTTAAAAGGCTCAATCAGAACCTTGTTTTCTGTCAGCCAGCCCATTTCAGTCTAGGATAAAGCATTTGTCTGAATACATTTTCATTCTATTTAAAGAATTTAACCTTAAAAGTAGAAGATTCCCTACAGTATTCAATCTTAGTCCTACGTAAGATTTCCTAAATGCAATAAAAGGGCGTATTTAAATTGACCTCAGGTGGATATTGCTCTTTGAAATTTCTTAGAAAGCCTTTTTTGGTGAGGTGATCAATGCTGTAGTATATAACATACCAGCTCATGACGACAGTCTCCACTACAGTAAGCTGATATGTAGAAGTGTTGCAGTGCAGCCACTGTTTGTAAGTTTCTGTTCCTGTTTTTCAATTCCTGCACTCAAATAACATACAAATAATTCTAAAAGTAGTTGAGTGAAAAACACCATATATGTAGGAAACCGCTGATAGGATCAATTAGGAAAGTCTGAATTACATCACTGGGTAAAATCTTCCTCTTATACTTTGTGATGCCTTTTTTTTAGGTTACTAAATGAATGCATGGAATATGGGCTGACTTTGTTTTTAAGCTTATGGTCTTAACCTGAGGCAGGCTTTTCTTAAAAAGCTCCTCGCCTTTAATGTCTGCGTCATGGGATCTCAGCGGCATATGGCTCTATCATTAAACTAGAGGTATTCCCTCAAAGAGGTTATAAAAGTACTTTCATTAATAGCCTGCATCAAATGCAGCCCTTGGCTGCTGTGTTGTTGTTTTTTTTTTATTGTTTTATAAAAGGATATGCCAATCTCAGGGGTAACAGGGTAGAGAAAATATAAAATAAATAACACAAGCATGGAGAGCCATTTAGGAAATAAAACCTTTGTGTTGGTACTACCACCTGCATCCTGTTTAGCCATTGTTATTTTCTTTGTGTGTAATCACAGAAAATATTATGCAGTGAGCTGAAGGAGAAGTGACAGAGTGCATGGGATGTTGAAAACCTGTCGTTTTCTGTCTTGTGTTTTTCTCTCAGGGTGAAGTCTTCGTATTTGGAGAGAGGTTGAGCTCTGTGCTCGAGTTCAACAGGGCCACTTCCTGATGATGACAGTAAACATGGGTGAGTTGGTATAGAAAGCAGACTGCTGTATGTGTTCATATAGAAACGTCCATACAGATAACGCAACCATCCTTAACACTTCCTGTGGCGAAGAACAGCAGAAGTAAGCTAACTGTCTTTAAAAAATGGATGTGTACACATGAAGAACTATGTTTATAATTTTGTGGTTTTACACCTTTATCATTTTATACCCACCAGATGAGAAGGCTGATGATTTTTATAAAATTTCCTGGAAGATATCTGGTTCATAACCTTTAACAGTTGTTTTTCATATTGATTCATTGAATATTTTGATGTCATCCTAAAGCAGTCACACTTTTTTCTTCCATAGATGACGGTCTCCCGAATGGACCCGGACAGCACAGGAACACACCAGGTAAACTATATGATGTAAACCATCCTGAACATTAAAGGATTACTTCAGATTACTTCAGAGCGAAGCATGAAAACTGAATGCTGCCTCCTTTTGTGTTCCTCTGGTCCTGAAAACTAGGGGTGTCCCAGTACAACTTTTTCCTTCGCAATTCCGATATTGACGCTTTGAATAATGGCTGATACCGACCTGATTTGATATTAGCACGAATCATTAACGTTGTAGGGAAGTCATATTTAAATGTCAACTCATTCTGGCTTAAACATGTATATAAATTTACTCTTTATCAGACTAGATTGTCGCAAAATTTAGGAAATTTCTATTTAAAAAAAAAATCTTTTCCTAAAATATGTGTTTTTTTTTCGTTATTTTATGCAGGCCAGTTAGTTATATATCAGCTTGTACACCTAAATTCGGCCAATCATATATCAACGGTCTTCTGTCAATCAAATTTTTTCCATCATAGCATCTTGATTCATATCTCGCAGCTAATAAACGAAACGGTTGAAATAAGAAATAGGAATCATTTACTTTACTACTGAGTTATGTTCCAGTGTTTACGGAGATGGACGTCTGTGTCTTGGGCAGGCGTAGAGCTAACAGAACTGGCAGCGTTGCGATGCAAGGGCTCAAACATGTATGGCTGTAAGCCTTCTACACCAAACCAAGCTTCTGCCACCTTGCCGTCATCTTCACACCATCTTCAATCCCACTTTCTTCCTCTAAATAAGTAATGTATGAAGGAGGAGACTCATCCATGACCTCCGACACAAAACTCTCCTCCACTTGCATGGTTCCGCTGTCCATAGCGTTCCTTGACAGTGTCGTTGCTAAGTGCTACTTGGTCCCAATGTAATTTCCAATTGGGAACCTACTAGCACTAAGTTGCTAACTGGTTAGCAAGATGCTTCCGACAAACCTGCCACAACCAGACTTGCTTGCCTTCCGCCACAACAATCCCGCCCCCTTGATAATCAACATCACATTCACTTTATTCAGTTATGTAAAGTCGTGCACCACTCGGGAGAATTCAGAAATGCACCCGTTGGAACAGCCAAGAGTTGCATTCAATATCGGATTGGGACCCCCCTACTGAAAACATCAAAGTTTGCTAGTCTTTCATGATCCGAGTGCCCATATTTGACCAGCACCTCCCAAATCTATTTTGGTCCAATATCATTAAGTGGTGTATGCTACAAATTAAAATACTCAACAAAACTACAGTGGTCCTGTAGTGCTTAAGGATTGGTCTACTTGCTTGGAAGTAATTTGGTGCACAGTAGTACCAGATATGCTAATATTCAATATAAAGTAGACTGTTTGGAGAGCGTCTCAATCAGAGGTATACATGGTGGCATTAGAAGTACTAAACATACATTTTAGACCTCATCAGCTGTATTTAGATCCTACCGAACTGAGTCAAATACAAATGATGTTTTCTGGTGTGTCTAAGAGGGATCCTTTGTGTCATGTCTTGTGTTACTCTTTTGAGTGACTGTCGGGCATTCTAGGGACTGCCTGCTGCTGATCTTTTAGCCTGATGTAAAACTCCCCCAATTTATTTTAGTTTGCATTATGTCCATGTACTATTTGGGGGAAAAAAAACTTTTCTTTTTTATTAGTTTATTGCTGCACAATCCATTACTGAAAAAAAACAAGAATAAAAACACTAAAAAAATGAAGAGTAATAATATAAAGACTTAATGTAAGAACATGTTGCTCCTTGCCATTGAAAGTAATGACTTCCTGTAAGAAGTCCTTAATCAAATGTAGCTAAATGAACAAAGGAAGCTAGACAGAAACTTTAAGCTTCTATCTATAACTATATGTACGTTACGCACCTAATCACAGTTATGTAAAATATTTGTCTTGGAATGTGTCCATTTGGCAGAGGCTTGAAAGTTATTGACCCAAACCTAGACTTTCAGGACAAACCTTGTGCAAACATTCCTTGCACAGTTATTGTTACACGCCTACAGTACCCAGCATTACATCAGAGCTATTATCCTTAGTGAAAGATTAACCCCAAGTGTTTAAACATTACATCCATTAGGCCTTAAATTGACTGCGTTTCATTTATTCAGTTGAGCACAGATCTGTGCTTACGGTGGGCCTTGCTTACAAATAACTGGTGTGTTTCTGAGCATCTGAGCGTGCTTCGTGCGTCAGAGATTGGACCTGGCTGCTGCTGGAGAGTTAGGACACATTCTGGCTCCGGCTGCTAATCCCGCCGGATGCTTTTGCCATGATGTGTCTCTCGGCTCAAGGAAATCCCCTCAATGTCTTTTCAGGCAGCTTGCCTCACTCTTCTCTGCCTTGCTGGTTTGTATGTTGCACTGACTTGCAAGGAGAGATATTCTACTAGACTTAAGGGAAAAAAATCTGCGCCTGCATTTTCTGTTTGCTTGAGCAGCAGTTGCAGGCAAATATCTTTAAAAAAAACCGTCTTGGACAGCAGTTCCTGTTACTTTGACAGCTTCTAGTTTAACCCTGAGAAAAGAAAGAAGAAGAAAAAAGATACAAAGTGATGATGCAATGTCCTGAAATCAGTCTCCATTGTGCAATGTCGCTTGCTCTCCCCAGCTTCCTGGAATTCCCCCTGTTGTTTTTTGGGTCACATTTTACCCAAGTCAGAACAGGAGGAGCTCAGGAAACGAACTGCAGGTAACCTGAACCATCCAGCAAATCAGATCCAAATCCTTGTGCAGGCTCACGTGGTTTGTTTGGCGTTTCCACAGCCAGTTTCTTAGTCAGTAACACACTCTATGTGTGTGAGTTTGTGGCTTCCCACTGGGCCGGCGTTTAGCCTTGGCTGGCCTTTGCATGGCGAGTTGCTGTGAGTCAGGCCCAAGTGAGGTAATAATTTCATTTATAGGACCGGTTCTGTGCTCCACCACGCATTTCACACACACATACAGACTGCCCCCCTGCACCAAACACAGGCTCCTGCTCTCTCCTCCCAACTCTGCTATTATCTGTAAGCAACAAACCAATCCTCTTCCACAGAAACGCACATTGCAGGACTGTGTTTGTTTTGTATCCTTGACTGCAAAAGAATGGGATTGTCCAGATCTGAGGCTGCGCAAACCCAAAAAAATCACTACAGAGTGGCAGGTGCTGCGTTTCCATTAACCACCGAATTGCGCAAATTCTATTTACGAAAATACATTTGCTAAATGGAAACAATGTAAATTTCGCCAGTCAAGTGATCTCAGAAACAGACCTTACTCCCTAGAGAGATGATGAAGAAGTAGAAGACTGGAAGTAGCTGGAGGATGATGGCGTGGAACGTTTGATTCACGAGGAGACTGAGTATTCTTTATTTAGATTACTACAATGAGCACGATAAGAGCGATGAGCACTAGAGCTGTGGCTAAAACATTGATAAATCTCATGTGTTTACGTCTGCTGCTGCGATGTTGTTTTCAGTTTTTGCGTGACAAAAAAAAAAGTATTTGCTTACATTTTTTATTATATTTCCCATTTAATGGAAATACCACAATTGTAAAAAAATGAGCATTTTCATAATTAACAAAATATCGACACATTTTTGCATTCGGATTTGTTATAAAATATACAAACAATGGTCTTTCCTTCTGAAAGTATTAATGACACTTCAACTTCTAAACATTCTACCACAATACAGCCACATTTGGACATGTTTTGTAAAAAGGTTTGGTGAGAACGCAAAGTAGTGAATGAATGCGACTTTTATAATTTGCCCCATAAGTTAGTCCTTAGAACTACCTGTTACTACATTTAAAGGCAAGTATAGTACTACAGCAGCAGTATAATAGTCAATATCAGAAGTATCCAAAAGTTGGATTGAACTGAAATTAGTTCTAACAGGCACTGGTGGGAATTCACATTGAATCCACTCTCCTTTTCTTTTCTGAAAATGTTGGTGATAAAATGAGCCTTTAGGGGACAGGATAAAAAAGTTGTCTAAGGACAAACAGGAAGCATTAAATTAGGTTTAGGTATTAGGCATAAAAATACTGGTGTGAAGTTTTCTGTGTTTGACAGAACCTATAGATAATCAAGCATAGAGCATTGTCAAGACATCTCTACAAACCGCAGTCAGGAGTCATTTTTGTGTAAAAGAAAAAAAATAAATAAATATATATATATATATATATATATATATATATATATATATAGCTTGGAATTTTAGTATAAATTAAAATTGATTATTTTAAGTTTTGAAATTAAAGAATTTAACTATATTTAAATAACCTTGCAGAATTGACCAACTTCTTTTGGTATAGATTATAAAAAATTCCCCTACAGACCTACCGTCTGAACCGATGTACAGAACCTTCTACTTCCAGACTGTTGCTGATGGTCTTCCCAATTATTCCATCATTCAACCTATAGAGCAAGGAAGCTACATGGGGGTGTGTGAGAGGACGAGGGCTCATGAGGCTGCAGCTGCTCAAAACCTGATCTTTTTCTCTGATAAACTTGTAACACTTATACAGCTGGAGCGGTTTGCCAAACAAAAACCTCAGTGGTTTTGAAACGTGACTTTTTTTTATTTTGGGGTATACCATAAACCGGTAACCAGCCCAGGTTTGATATGAAGACTTTAACAAGTCACTGTTTAAAGCAATGATTAAGGTTTAAAAACATGTCCTTCATTACTTTGTTGTGCTTTTATTTATGGAGAGAAGACATTGATTCTTTAAAAAGATTGCATCCAAAATAATTATTGTGCAATTAGAGTGGCAATGGAAGAAAAAAAAGTTTTTCCTTGAGTCAATTAGAAATCCATGAGTTTCCTGCTGTGGAGTAATAAACCAGGGCTGCCCGTTCGCGTTCAGAACAGACAGTGATTCAGTTCCTTCCTGCCAGGGAGGACAGGCTGACCAGAGCTGAGCTGTTAGTCATCCACCTTTGCTGCCACCATGGATTAAAGCCAGACCTGCCTCCTGTGTTTGCGTCAGCATCGAGGTTTCACTGTAAAGCTCAAGAGCTCTGCCTTTAGAAGATTTGTGATTATTTACATCTTGAGGTGGAATTTCATGTCTCTCCTGCCTCCTCTGTTAAACAGCTGTAGGTGTTAACAAGCATAAACACTTGAGTTATAAAGTTTTCTTTTCTGTAAGAAAAAAAAAAGCAATATAGGGTCAATTTTGAGAAACAAAAGAAAGATATATTATTCTTATTGCCCTGATTTAATAAAGCGGTAATTATATGCCTGGGTAATTAATCAACATTTTGCCAGATTTATCACCATGTGTTCTAAAAATACCAGTCCACCCCGTGCACTGTTTCCACTATTTAAACTGGAGCTGAGATACAGTGGGTGTAACATTTCCTTTGTCTTTGCATTATTTTGTTTGTCTGTAAGAGAAGGGAGTGTGCTGTTAATCAGAGAGCTGTGGGTCATTCCTTACCTCACCCCAGCTCCTGTACGGTTTTAGGATTAAAAAGGTAATGAAATACCACCTCTGAGTTGCAAGGCAAGGCAAGGCAAGGTAAATTTATTTGTATAGCACGATTCAGTACAAAGACAATGCAAAGTGCTTTACATGATTAAAATATAGGAAAATAAAACAGAATCAAAGCAAGTAGGTAAGAAAAAAATAAAATAAAATAATAAATGCAGAAACAACGTTTGACTAAAGAAAATAAAAATGATAAAATAACTGTACCCCTTTCCCACTGGCTGACAAAACCCGTTCAAACCTGGAAACCATTAGCTTTTAGACACAGTGACCTGTGTCGACCCGGCTCAAACAACTCAGCAAGCGACCCACATTAAAATCACAGCGGCAATGTGTCGGCATACGGTCAGAACATCAGAGCCGTGTTGACCTGCTAATTTACGTGATTCCACTGAGCGTTAAGTATGGACATCGGGGCGTGCAGGTGTCGCAGTGGTTAGTGCGCACGACCCATGTACGGAGGCCTTTGTCCTAGATGCAGCCGACTCGGGTTCGAATCTGGCCTGTGGTCCTTTGCAGCATGTCTCTCCTCCTCTCTCATACCCCCTTTACTGTCACCCTACTCTCAGAAAAACAAGCCAATAATACTGTAAAAACTAAAAAACTAAAAAAACAGTAAAGTATGGACATCAACACACTGCACCAGTCACTTTTGATCTAACAAGCCGAAACGATTATGCTTACATTTGCTAAACATGTTTAGAACCATTGGGGCTGTTTGCTGCCCAGAAGCACACTTTGTGTTTCAGTTAAAATTACATTTGAACTTGTAGTTGACATTCAACAAAAGGAAATCCTTCCCTTGGCCACCTGAAAAACACAGGTTGGAATCTAGATTTTCTCATATGTTATAATGGAGACTTGGTGACCTCTAAGGTTCCACTCATTGCTGCAGTTTAGACTGTGACCTTTGGAGAATGTTAGTTATAGGTTAGCAATGTAAGATGGTTCCTCATCCACAGTTTCAGTAGTTGGAGACTTTTTGTTTAAATATTTCTTCTGTAGCAATGGGCAAATGTATTTTTTTCCATTTGTTTGACAACAACACAGATTGGAACTGTTTTCTTTTCTGTTTTTGATTGGCTGTTGTATTTTTTATGGATTAGTAACTACCTCCCCTAACTCCAAAGCATTCCAAAGTCTAGAAGGGAACGTTGGGCATCCATCTGCCTCACTCTTTACTACTCATTCACTGTGGTTAGAGAGTGTTGCATGGCCAGAGCGTATCTACCCATTGTCCACAGGGGACATATGAACCACATTAACCCACTCTGATGTGGAGCAGCAGCAGCAGCTTTAAGAGCTGGTTACCGTATATTCCCCGCAGCTGTGTGTCGCAGTGAGCTTGTCGCAGATATTTTTGATTTATGCCCAACATTGAAGTGAGGTCTGTGCTATGTTATTCCACGCCACAAAGAAAGAGGGACAATCACGAACTAGTTGTAGGTCTAGATACGGCCGATTCGTTAAGGAAGTAAGGGCAAGTTTGTGCGACAACGGAGGGACATGAGGGCCAAAAAGAGCCGGGATCCAGGTGGAAAAAGGGTCCCAGCGTTCTCACATACCTTGTTCTTCTAGATGGTCCAACTTCACGAGTCGTTTTCCACAATGGCCGTCATACAAACAAAACCAGCCGGTAAGGTACCAAACAGGAAATACACATTTAGAGTGGATGTAGAGATTTGACCAATCAAATGCCTCCTGTCTGTGGCACTGTCTGCCGTCACCTATAATTCAGGGGCGGGGGCACATTTGCATTCACTGCGACACTCGCAGACAACCTGGTTTCTGAGTATCAGCCTTTAAGGCTGATTTATACTTTATAATTATTTTTTAGATTATTAATCAGATAGCCAAAGATTCCTTAAAGATATATTTTTTAAGAAATTAAATCAGGTGAAACTAAAACATTTCCACTTAAGTAGTTCTGGATAGAGCATATTTACAGAAATAAACTATTTTTTAACTTAAATGCAAAATGTTTTTTTTAAATGTCGATATAATTACTGCTCTATCAGCTAAAGACATATTTTACAGTCTCTATACTCAGTTAATGATTGATCGATTACTAGATCAATTAATCCGATTAATTGTTTCAGCTCTACTGTAAACATCACCAAGCTTCAAATCGATGTCAGGGTCTCTAATATAGAGTGATGTGCCAAATTAGGCAGGCTAGATTTTTTTTTCATGTTGAATTGAAATTGTAGACTTTTTTGGAAACTTTATCTGTGAACATAAGAAGTGTTCCAGAAATAAACCTTTTTTTATGTTTTCTTTACTGAGAATGACCTCTCTTTATGTGGAATACACACAAAGTTTCAGTTTATTTGAAGCGTTCGCTTCCATTCAGTCAAAGCTGGCTGCTACAAGTCCATCTAAGTTAGATAAAGGTCACATTAAAGCATCTGTTATGTCATCCTGCTAAAAGGGTGTCCCATGACCTCAGGGCGACCCTACTGGACTGAGCTGCTGCCAGGGAACAGCCTGGGATCATATTGCACCTCAGCACCCATCTGCTGCCTGCACACATCCCCAGTGGTCCTTCTGATAATGAGAGCATGACTCTGTCTGAAAGAATATAGCCTTTCCTTTAGGTGCTGTTTGTCTTGCATACACCTGACCTGGTTTCTGTGCATATTTGTAGGATGGATGTTCTCATCTGACCCTCATTCATAATTGCCTCCATTATAATCTCTTGATATGGTAATGCCTCTAATGCTCATCTGTATGATTTCCTCCTGCGGAGCATATGTGTGTTTATGTGCTAAAACATAGCAATTTGGCTCAATTTACTTTAATATTAAATGTGAGTTATCCTTTCCGCCCCTCTTAATTTTCCATAATCTAAAATATCTTGCAGAACTTTGCTGTCATGCAAAAAGGGAAAAATCTCAGAACTTACTTGTGCAACTGGACCTCATGTAGTTGAGAGACTCTTTTCATCATTAAACCTCTTTGAACCTGCAGTGATAAAGATCCCTTTGAGTGATAGTGTCAGATGCATGCTTAACTTAAAAAAAAATGAAACACGTGTACAACCACTGGAATTTTCCCACTTGTGGAAACTTGACAGGTGGTGCAAGAACAGGAAGTAGCAGCCCAGGTGTTGCTTCATGGCCACAATTAGGCCAAAACAAGCTGCAGCACAAATGTAATGAAAATCATCAAACATAAACTTAAACATTTCTCTCAAAATGTAAAAAAAAAAAAGGCTTTTATGTGGCTAATGTTTTAAGTTAATTATGAAATAAACAAAGCTGTTTTTGCTTCTCCCCTCACTTTGTGTGTCTTCTGGCTGCAGATGACGAGGAGGCGCTCAACTCCATCATGAAGGATCTGGCCGCTTTGGGCCGCTACTCCAGCCACAAGCACAAGAACAGAACCTTACTCTACAAGCAGGTATATAGCATAGCTACATGCCTTCCATACCTCCCCTGCTACTGCAGCTAACAGATGACTACAGAGATATATAATGAATTTATGGGTATTATCAAATGATGATAAATGAAAATGATGCAGGCTCTTGTGTAACCTGGAGTTAGTGGAACATGGCAATTTCTATTCAGAGACTTTTTTTTTTTTTATTACTATTTTAAATATGAGTTTCTTCAATAGCAGCCAAGAATAACATAAACAGGTTTAGTTGGTTAATGACTAATAACTGATGACGTTTGCAAACTCACCCGGCTTTAGAAAAGGCGGCTTAAAGCCCCTAAAGCTCACCGTTCTTGTTTTATTCACACAGTCTGGAATTTGCTTTATCATTTTGAAGATCTGGATTACTGTGAAAGTGAAAGGTGTTATGTTTTGTCATAGAGTTATAATGACAAACTTTTAAATATGAAAAATCCATTTCCCACCTTCTGAGATTTTTTTTTTTTTTTTACTTTTTGCCTTTAAATTTGGTCGCGTTTAGATGTCAAACACGCCAATGAAATAAAAATACATTATTTGGGTTTAGGATTATTCCACGTGTGGAAAGTGGGAAAAGTTATGATTGTACTTATTAAAAAGGAAATCAAAGCTGATTGTTGGTCCATATGCCAGAAATTTTGGTGAAATATCCCTTTATATAGGACAGAATCAGAGGCCCATCCCAGTATTGTGCTTTTTCATGGTTTGATGAACCTTAAGACAACAAAACGTCACCAAAGTTAATGTGTTGCTTTAAAATGTCCAAAATGTGGCAAAAAAAATGTAGAAACACAGTTAAGCCAGCAGTTTTTTTGGCTGTCAATGTATCTTGATAAAATGAAGAAATCTATCTTTGATGCTTTTCCAGCTGTTAGGGCTTTAATACTGAAAACTCTCCTTAAATTAAATCTGACGGTGATCCGTTTCCTACAGCATTTTATTAAGTTGTTCCTTTAACCTTCACTGTCTTAATAGGTTCACTCAGTACCTCAGTCGCTCTGTCATTTTGATTTATTTAGCCGGACTCAGACGTCGCGTGCTGCCAAAGGCAGGTGAAGGTTGCGCTGCAGTTAGAGGGCGGCCTTCTACAAATCAACTTATTGTGTGTTAATGAAGGCAGCGCAGGAAGCTGGTCTGCTTTTATACCTACGTCTTGTAGAAACCTGCGTGTTTCTGTCACCTTGAGTCGCTCTCAGAAGTTGACCTCCTTTGCACGTTTGTTACCCGTCGGTGGAATGATAATTGGCAAATCCTCTCAAAGTGTTTATGATGAGGCATAAACAAACAGTGTGGAGCAGAGAGGGTTTCCGCCCGGACTGCAGCTTTCCTTTGCCAGAAGGGGTAAAACCCACCCGCCCCTTCCCCCTAATTTTCACCCAATCTCCCGCGCTGATATGATGACAGTGTTAGTTTATCAAAATGACCTCATGCAGACTTACAGGCTCCTCCAGATTCCTGCTCCCTTTGGTTGTGACTTTGACTAGAACACACACAGACTGTGTCATGTCCTCCTTTTTTTTTTTCTGAACAAAAACAACAGGCATTAATAAAACTTCACCTAATTTCTTTGCCCAGTTTTCTTCTGTCGGCCAAATCCCCTCATACAGTCATGAATCATTTTAACTTTCCACCTCTATAACTTTTCTCTCTTGTTTTTATTCCTCCTTACAGGATTTAAGAGTCAAGCTGGAGCATGAGAGAGAAAAACGGTATGTTGGAAACCTCCGTATTGTTTTTCTTTCCTCATTTTTTTTTCATACTGTCCAACACAAAACTCTGTAGTTTGGATCATTTTGTTTTGCTTTGCCATGCCGGGGATTTTGTGTCTAAGGGAGGAAATCGCGGTTACATGGCGGAGTAACAGAAAGGGAAGGAAAATTCCTGCTTGGATTATTTAGCCAAGGCTCTGTGTTCCAGATTGTGTTTTTAAGAGTGGAAAAGATGCAGGGAGGTCTGAAGGAGAGGGGAGTGATCAACAAAAGGATGTGAGAGCGGCAAGTGTTCCAGTTCACTGTCCTCTTTTCAACCCTGAACTAATATTTTATGGCATGCTGCATCGTTCTGGATGTTTTATCCCACATTCCCGGCTTTAAACCTGTTTAAACCTTTGGGGAACTTTGGTAGTTCGGTATGTAAGGGTAGATGTTCTGTTTATAGAGCATACCCAACACGTNCCCCCCCCATATTCCTAGACAAAGTTCCGGCCTTTTGCCTTACGTGCTGCAATCACTCTTTACGCTCTGAGACATATATACTGAAGGATGAAGGCCACATTTAATATATCTTAAATTATTAGTATACCAGGAAACGACGTGTTTAAAATGATCCTCATTCAACCAGCTAGCTTGTTTTCAATAGGAAGCCACAAACATCTCCCAAAAGATGATGAAATAATGCAAAAGAATAATAAATATGACCTTATTGTGTTTGCTCAATGCATCTATACTCTATATAGGGTTGAAACAATTATTCGGATTAATCAATTATTGAAAAATCGTCTAATTTAGTAATCATTCATCGTTAAATAGAGTATAGAGATATCTTTATGAGCATCTGACCTTTAAGAGGAAATGATTTAGAGCAATAATTAAACCAAAACTAATATTTTGCATTTAAGATTTAAAAAAAATTATTCATCTGTCAATGTGCTCTATGCAGAAGTCATCAAGTGGAAAAGTTTTAGTTTCACCTTTTTTGAACAATTTTTAGTTGCAGCTATACTCGTTATACCAGTAATAATAGTAGTGTCGTTTGTCGACCAAAGCATCATAGAATGTTTTCAGTGGATATTAAGATATTCTGGTAAACTAATTAAAAAGCAGCATCGCAGTTAGATTAGTTAGCCTAATTAGATGCATATGTATCTATAAAATCATGTTAGCAGGTGTTAGAATGGAAGTAAGTATTTAATTATTTCTGCCGGGGTTATCTGGGGTGTTTGTTTGCAATAAACCCAAAGCAGATTTACACCTGCAGGAGACAGACTTAATTAAAGAGAAAAAGCAAAACTTATTTTTAGTTTTATTTTGAAAGGCTATCAATAGTGTGATCTGACTTGCACATTGTGAAGCCAACTTAATTGTGCAGTAAGTGTGCAAATAAAATGCTATATACCGGAGGCATCTGCAGCGCTTGAGGTATTAGGAATCCATGAGTCAGGATAATCATATTTTCTGTCCACAAAGGAATCAGACTGGAAGGTTTCTCTTTTCATTGGCAGGCGGTGAAGGCTTTAGGCAGGAAATAAGCGCTGCAGAGTGTCTCTCTTCCTTTGGCCAGAGAGTAAAGGAGCACAGCCAAACCTTTTCTTTTTTTCTTCTTTTTTTTGTGTGTATGATGGTGAGTTTGAAGGAAAGGGGGGAAAAAAAGCCTGGGCGCTATGAAGGCAATCTTTCATCTGCAAATCTGTTCTCTTATTTTTGTCCCCTCCTCTGAAACTGTGTTTCAACATGCTCGCTTGCAGAGGAAGGAAAGCCATATCTTTTAGTGCAGCATCCCCCCCTCCACCACATCCCTCCAGCTCTTTATCACACACATCATTGCTGAATCTAAACAGTCGGGGAGCATTTAGCTATGCTGCTGCTCGCCTCTGATCTATAGGCCTCCCAATTCCCAGAATCCTCTCCTTTTTTAAATGAGGGGACCAATGAGAAGTCATTAAGATAGGCTAAGCTGTGGCCTCTGATGAGGAAACGATGGGATAAAAACAACATCTTTTATCAGGATACTATAAAGACTTTGGGGGGTGGGTGCAGATTCTTTAAAAGCAAAAGAAGAACGATGGAAGGGAAAAAGGAGACATGCAGCAGAGAGTCTCTTATATGCAATCGGTCGCCTCTATTTTTCCTCTCAGAGTCTGTAAATATCCCCACATCTCTGTATCTTTTGCTCTGTCACTCTCTAAAAGAGGGAAAGGCACACATCCTGCTACTTTAGCTGCCGCTTCAGATACCCCCCCTTTCTTTCCTCTCAGGAAGTTTCCCATCTGCCTTTGTGCTGGCTTAGCGGAGAGACCATGGCGGTTGTTGAAACAGCAACCGATGCATACACTGATTGGGAAGTACGCTGATGCATGAAAGGTCTTACAAACACAAAGTTCTAAATATATAGTGTGTGTGTGTATATATTTATATAATCTCTTAAAATCACCAACAAATTGAACCCCTTTAAGTAGATGAGCACAGATATACTGTAGATATCTCAGAGAGTTTATTCCTTCTCTTTCTGTTTCATTGATTAATCTTTTCTCAGTATCTCAGCTCTCTTTGCCACAGAAACACTGTTCAAATTCTTAATGAATAATTTTTTGTTTGTTTGTTTTGCAATCCCTCTCCCTAAAAGCAGCAGAAAAGAGCATTGCTGTTTAGCAGGGAAATTCTTTAGAGTTTCTGCAAACATATGCGACACAGATATCTTCCCTGTGATTTCTAATGCAGCTGGTGTTTTATTTTGTTTCTCCCGGTTTAGGATCATACCGTTTCAGAGGCCGCTGAAGATCAAGGAGCTTCTGCAGAAAGTCACAGAGGCCTTTGGTCAGCAGATGGAACTTTTCTTTACAGAGAATGAGGTAAGAGAGGAGAAGTTTTATAAATCCTGAAAATATTTATAATGATGAAGCGTGGAAGAGCAAATACCAAAGATTTGTTTATTTTCTTTAATGCAATGTTATCATCCTAAGTACTCACAAAACTTGAATATATATATTTGAAACAAGAGAGAAAATAATCCTCAGAGAAAGTAGTATTTAGTAAAAAAATTACTGAAGAGTCTGGCACACCTTAAACAGAGGGGGTGGACTCAGGTTTCAGCTGTCGAAAACCTATAATGCCTTGTAGAGTTGATTCCTACTCGCTATCATCTCAATCGTCATCGCCACGCAGGTGGTCAAAACATCACGCCTATTAAGCCAGGTCAATAATGACCTTAAAGACTCCACATTACAGAGGCATGGACCAGTTTCAGGTTAATTTGCAGGGCAACAATGACCTTAACTACTTCCCATTACTAAGGGGTGAACCTGTTTTCAGTTCAATTTGCATGTTTTCTAAGCTATAACAAGGCTTTTTTTTTTGGGCTACTCTATAAAGCCTGGAACTGAATGCTACTATGACATTTTGAATTAAAAAAGCATCCTGGATGGGAAGCGAAACGTCTTCAAACTTGGAAACCAAAGTCCAGTGGGTTTTTTTTTTTGTTTTGTTTTTTTATTACTGAAGCTTCATTTTAACTTTAAGGATACAGTGAAACATTTGGCAGCAGCCCTGTTTAGGTGTTAAATGTAGTTAAAATATGCCGTTTAATAAGACGGTGAAGAAGTAGGCATATCTAAATGCTGGAGCAGTTCTGTAGTTGGTGTTTTCCATAAGAAAGACAAGGCAAAACACAGACATTGAGATACAAGCACTTGCATGTTAAAAAAAAAAAAAAAAGGAAAAACCAGGCACCTACTCAGCATAAAAAGAGAAGCACTAAAACACAAAAGGCATAAGGTTTCTAGAAAGTCTATTGGAAAATAATTAGAGTAGACACAGTTGTCCGTAACACGAGGTCTGTCTGGAGCTCCATCCAAGCAAGAAAACCTGCTAAATATGAACGATGAACGATGCACTCCACTTCAATGGTATTTTCCTCCTGAAAAGGAAGCTTTTTAGTAGATGATACAATGTGTTTACCAGCAGTTAAAATGCTGCCCAGGGAGAAGCATTCATTATCATTTGTAGCTTCGTCTTTATTGCACAGAAGAAAAAAAAGAATCAGATTAAGGAAAGTTAACGTTACTGTAAAACGGTTATTTTTCACATCTACACCTTTCTGACACTGTTGCCTCCTTATGCAACACCAAGGAATGAAATGTCAGGTTTATGTTTACCTGTTTCTATAGCTGCTGCTGCCCCTGAAGACCCAGGAAGACCTGGATCAGGCGGTGTTGTCTCTGAGCAGCACTTCTGGAACCAACGGGCTGCTCAGGATACTACTGAAGACCCCTAAAAACAACCATGTATGTTGCTCACCATGTTCACTATTAGTGCAGTCATGAGTGTCAGATATGAATGAGACCATGTTGGTTCCTAAATGAATGATGAAACAAACTTCCTCCTGTGATACGATGACGTTGTAATGCTTGCAATTATTCCCTCCTATTCAGTATCTACAGGTGAACACACGGGACAAACAGAGCGAGATGAAGTCGTCACGGTCATTAGGGGACCTGAAGGGCTCTCTGCTTAAAGGCTCAGAGAGAGTGCGCAAACACTCAACAGGTGAGTTACCACCAGCCTCCGATAATCACAACCTACCAATAAAGTCTCAGTAAAAGGGGAAAAAGGTGTATTTATGTCTTTAGTTGTTTAGCCTGTAGGAGAGAGTACAGTTTAGAGTGGATAACAGGAAGGCTGAAAGGAAAGGTGTTTTTTTTCCCTTTAACTGTTATCCGTTTTATCTTTCAATCCCCGTGTCTGCTGTTATTATTGTGTTATTATTAAATTTAAGGGAAAAAAAGATCTGAAAGGGGAGTACAAAGTAAAATACATATAAAATGTTAGCAAAAAAAATTATTTTCCATTTGTCAATTTATCTTTTATTTATTCTATGACAATATTTTCTCTCAAAAAGTTTTTTCTCAGTCTCAAATAACATTCATTTTTTTTTTTAGATCACTCTGATATTTTTCTCAAATATATATATTTTACTTTCAAAATGATCTACCCCTTTCAGATCGCTTTTTTGCTTGAATTTCAGAAAGAAAAAAATATAATAACTCAACACCTGCTGGATTTGAAAATGCTAGCAGCTGTTTGGAAACCCTAACAGTAAAAATATTCCCGAAGACTGCTAGCCACGCTCACCATACGTTTGCTCATCTAAGATGCTAAAAGTCTGCCAAACAACTGCCCTTTCTGGTACATGTGTTTTCTCTAATAATATTGAGTATTGACCCCGCATTGAAGGAAGGCTAAAATGTGAAGCCTTCTCTTTTTAAATCTAAAATAGATCCTGAAGTTCTCTTTATTCAATTTCTGCCACTTTATTTTTTTTTATTTTTTTAATAAAGACTAAAGCAGCTCAGAGCAGAAGATGCAAACTGTACATTAAGGAAGAGAAACATAATAGTGCAGCAAAGATGCATTTTTCCTCACAGTAAGCAGCGTCTCTTTTTACCTAATTAATTGGTGTCACTGTCATGTCAGGGTGTCAGTGCTGAGCTTAAGCAGTGCAGCCCAGGTCTGCTGTCTGTTAGCTCAGCATGCAGGTTCATTCTGCTTCGTGAAGCAGTGTTTTCTCTGTCCTTTGTTCAGAAAGGTCAATGCTTGGGCTGCACGCTCCAAACCTTAAACATTTGCATTTCCCAGCAGTAGGTTAAGCCAATCTTTCCCCTTTTGAATGCTGTCTCTATCCTGAGTCCCATTAGTTATGTCAGGTCTCCTGCTACAAACCTGAAAGAAGCAGGAGTAGTGGTGGCAGATAGGGGCTGGCAGGAAGGCGGTCCCAGGCTACGGTTGAGGGAAAATGTGATGTGAGCTGGGGAACCTTAAAGACGTATGGCAGCAGGAGAGAGGAGGGGGACAGTGAGGCACAGAGGGATGACAAAGCTGAGCTGTTTAGCAGTTTTAACAGTTTTGAATATTCCCTTAGGGTCTTTTTTTCCTGTTATTTCCTGACATCTTTCTGAGCTCAGTCAGATCATTTCAGCTTGTTACAAGGACAGGTTCTCAGTTTGTGCAGCAGCTTTACAGGGGGACTGTTTGTCATAGTAATTGAGGTTAGAGTTGACAGCAGGGAGGTTTACTAAATCATTTCTGACTCTGTTGAACTTGAATCCAAGAATAACATTGAATATGTCTCTACTTGTTCTTTCATCTTTCCACACTCTTCATCTCTTCACCTTCTGTCGCTGCGACCATCTTTCCCCTGCTTTTTCTCTCTTCTTACCGTTATCTCCCCCCAGGTTCCCTCCACACTGGTCGAACATCTCCTCCTCCAGGCAGCGTTCCTGAAGAGCAGCAGCAGATTGCTCGTCAGGGCTCGTACACCAGCATCCACAGTGAGGGGGAGTTTATCCCAGAAACCTCAGAACAGCATGTAAGAGCTCTTCTACACAAAATCAATGATATTTAGCCAGATTTTGTCTATAAACCTGGTCCTAAAATGGAATCATCTTAAAGTAAAAAATATGCACATTACATTGCATATTCAGTATGAAATCTATAAATCATGTAATATAACACATACAAATCCATCACAGCAAAATTAGTGTGTTGATGGAGCATAATACAGCTATAGTGAGATATTAAGAAAATTACACATCAACACACACGCACACACTATC